TTACAAATAACAAGTTAACCTATAATTATGAAATGAGTTTTATCAGTGTTATTATGAATAATACAATAAATAAACTTTTGATTATCAAACAATAACTGCATAAACCCAGTGGTAATTAAATGTTATAATTTATATACTTCGTAATCTATGTTTTTATTTTTTTATTTTTAAAGACTTTATTAGTGAAAACTTTCTCATCGTCTGACACAAGTTTRCATCCTAGTAATATATCATCCAACGGTTTAAAATAGTGGAATTGACGAGTAKTTTTTATTGTAGTTGCTCGTTCAAACCGTTGTTGATAATTTTGTTCATGTAATTCATGATCTTTTTGAGAACACAAAACAAAATCTACCTTTTTTAATTAACTTTTCGCCCACTGGAAAAAGAAASTTGGTGTTATAATGTGATTATTTTTGTCACTTTGAAGGCTAGCATGGTAAGCCTGTCTTTTTACACTTCCTGCTAAGCCGTCACAGGCCCCTTTTCCATGAGAGGTAACGAAGAAATTCCATTCAGCTTTAACATTGTGAAGCTGCTCCATCTCAAAAGTACTTAATTTTTTTTACATTCTCAGCACCAAATTTATTTTTTTWAAATTCAATAAGTTTAACATTAAAAAAATCTTTTTTGGTACATGTCGCTTCAACGATTTCAGGCCTACAAAATTTAAAACAAATGTGTAAGAACTGTAAAAAAAAATATGAAAAAAAAATAATAATAACTAGACAAAATAATAAAATAGAATTTTAAACTTTTCTATCAACCAATTTTTTTTTGTCAATATTTTTTTTTCTTATCTGTCAGTACTTTTCCATTGACTAAAAGTTATTTCCTTTATCTTATGACTATCAATCAATAATTTTAACTTCCTAATGACGAAATCAATCCCTGGACACTGTTTACACGTTAAAAAGAAACATGATGATGTTGGTTGCACGCAAACTGAGCTTTGTATCAAGTCTTTTAAGCTTTCAGGGAAATCAATTCCTTTTTGTTTAATTCGTTTTTTAGTCCGTGCAATTGTAATTTTGCATTTTGGTGAATTTTGCATACCCACACATTATGTGTTCCGCTTTTTCCAGCTGAAATACATTCCTGAGGTCGTAAAGTTTGAAATTTTTTTCTTTTCCGGAAAAGCTTCYTTAAAATTTTTATATAAGTCATTAATTAGTAAGAGTCTTTTTTGTTTCTGGACTTTTTTTTATCATTTTCTAAAACCGAACTTCCATTTCAGGCATCACACGACTAACATCATCAGACAAATAAAACTTTTTAACACGATCGAGTGTAGAATTGTCCAGGCTTTTCCCTTTCTTCGCATCAGGCTGTGATGCAAATCCTGATTTTTTTCTAATATTTTTAGCAGCTTTTACCATTCTCTTTGAAACTTTAAATTCACGTCGTATCATTTTTATTGACCAATCTAACGGAAGCGTAGTTAACACTTGAATTTTTTCGGATATTGTATTTGTTTGGTTAAATGCAGACTTAAAATTATTTAAAAGAACTTCATTTGGGTTATTATGATTAACATCAGTACTGCTCAATTTCTTCACAGAGCACTAGATTTTATTGGTGGTTCTCCGACCTCCAATAGCAATTTATTAATATTATTAATTTTTATTTGATTATCTACAGCATCACATTTAAAGGTCGGGTCTTTCTTGTTATCATCTTTAATCTCATCTACTTCTGGATCAATCGTATCGATAATTACACTATTTACAGGTTTTATTATTATCAGGTTTTATAGGTTTAGTACCCAGATATATTGCTCTCTCACAAGAATTGCACATATAATATCCGATAAAATCTATAAAATTGCAAGCTCGATTGGTTGTGATTAGAACTAAATTTTTTATGATGTATTTATGATTTTTTCGGTTTAATGGATTGCAACATTTATTCACTCGACCCAATTTAAATCACAAAAATTATTATTAATATAAATAAAAATTAAAATAACATAAGTTGGTTAAGTAAAAAAAATACAAATTTACACAACCTCAGTCTTTTTAATAATTATCAATATCACGTCGTAACTAGCTTATTTAAGGCATGAACTGAAATGACTGCTAAAATTTTCTTTTGTTATTTACGTGAAGACGCAAAAAACAAATAAACATCGTAACTGAGCGGTTTATTGTTTTTTTTTTTTGACTAACAATGGCTCGGCCGCACGGTGTTCTGACAGTGCTTGGAGCCCGGCGCGCTGTGATAAATAAATTCATAATGTTTAAACTAATCGCGAGCAGTGAAATTTTCTTTCGGAATTTCGAGCTTCGATAAATAACGCATGTGAGAAAAAAAATAAAAAATTTTGACCGAGAAGTCAATGAAATTTTCATTTGTTAACTTTAAAGTTAATTAACAATATGATAGTAAACAAATAAATTTTACTTATTTATGTTTTCTTGAAATATATACACTTGACAGTAAATCCTCAAAATTCCATTATTTTATCTTTAACGGTTGTTATTAAATCTAATTTTTAATTAAAAATTCTTTAAATTTTAATTGTAAAAAAAATTGTTATTCAATTAAAATTTGTCAAAATCCTTTAAGGGATCAATTTTCCATAGTGACTACGTATGAAAGAAATATATGGTCTCAATTTTTATCATCAAATGGAAAATGAGGGAGCCCACTTGACGTGATCTGGCTCATATGAAGTTTTTTTTTGGAGAAATACATATGTAGAAAAAGGTATCCCTACAAGACGGGTAAAAGTTAAGTAAGTGGTAACCGATAGGTTAACAATAATTAATGTATTCGTTATCCGATAGGTTAGTTTTGTTCTACCCTCGGGAGAGGGTTTTTCAACYTTCACTACACGTTGGTGTGATTAGCTCGTTACTCGTTAGTTACTYGTTCTCTCTCATTGATTTCTAATTTGCGAACTATTTTGGAAAACTAACTGTTATTCTTCTGTTAACAGCGTCCGTTTTATTGGCTATTTCTTTGGTTAGCCATCTGTTATTG